TTTTTATTCAGTGAACCTTGTGGCATCTTTTTTTTTTCTTTTTCTTATCCATCTGCAAGTATTGTATCTGTTCCATATAGTGTGATGTTTTTCCTTCTTCATCTCTTTCTTGTGTGTTCCCACACAATATTTTATCTTAACCAAGGCAAAAAAAAATTTGGCCATCCTTGTCTTCCAGCCGTGTATTTGCATCCTAGCCAATAAAGGGATTAAAAAAACAAAATTCTGACCTCCATAAGAAAAAAAGCTATTCCCCACCCCCCCATGTATAATTTCTCTCCCAGTTTGAAGAGTGGGGAACTGTTAGGATACAAGAAATACTTCTTTATAGAACAGGTACTAGATTCTTGTCCAGGGGCAATGCATAAGGGGTGTATGTGCACCCCCCGAGAGCGCCGGTGCACCCCCTGATAGGCTGCGCTTGCTGCTTGGGTAATGGGCGGGGGTGGACAGGTGGGAACACCAGTGCCCCTCTGGCAAGCGCCAGCTGATCACTGCAGCCACTTATGGGAGGGGATTGCCTGCGGGGGACCTCTCCCCCTGGTTTGCAGGATTGCCCACGGGGTACCCCGCCTCTAGTTGGTGGGACTGGTCGCAGGGCAGGCACGTTTTCCCCCCCCCCCCTCCGGCAGCACTAGTTGCCCATGTTCTTGTCTATACAAACTTTTTTTAAATACTTTTTGCTCTTTCACGTTGCTTCAGACTTCTGGTAATATATACTTAAAGTAGATAAAGAGTTCAAACAAACCACTTCCCTTTTAAAGTACTGCAGCTTGCAGAAAGAGCCTTTTTTGTAAAGGATTAAAGTCCGGAGTGATCAGTCTACCTTCCTATCAGTTCAATGAACAGTTTAGGTAACATTGAATCCATAATTTTTCATAGTCTCATGCTTCTGTCTATAGAGTACAGTTTTCATTAGAAGTGGGAATGATACTTCAGTGGAATTGTTTTCAGGGTTTAAATCCTTGAATGAGTGTTGTTGTCATGCATTGAGCACTGGCATCTGTATCAGGGTTCAGTGCTTTCAAACTTTGATTCATACTGCTAACAGTTTTTCCATCCCCTGAAATTTTGAGCATTTTTTCTCAATTTCTCTCCCCTACAGTTTCTTTTTAATGGCTATACTGCTTGTAAGAAATAGGCTTTCATTCATGAAAAAGGTTTAAATGTCTTTGTGTGTACCTAAACCAAAGATATTCTTCTGTTACCTAAACCTTTCCAGAGTTCGAAAATTACAGGACAGGACTGAGTTCTGCAAAATGGTTCTCATTAGCTTTTTTCTGTCTCATAAAGAGCTATTAGATCATCTTATGGACACTTAGTGTCAAGTTTTACTGAGTAAAGTCTATCTAAACAGCAGCTAAGTGTCTAACAATTTGATCTTGATAGAAGAGTTTTTGTTGTTTAGGTCCATCGAGCATTTTAGCTTTAGCTATTGTCAGCTGTGTCTTCCTAGGATCCCCCCCTATTTAGGTGTGGGGAGGGGTTGGTTCTGTGGCAGCTCCTTGCAAAAACATGTTGTTTTCATATGAAAAGAATTTAGAAGTTAAAGGCCAGCTCTCCAATTCCTAAGTCACCTCTCTGCTGTGTTATAAGTATCATTCTGATTTGGCCTGAAATTATGGGTAGTGTCCTTATGAATAAAAAAAGGGAATGAAGAATCTTGTATTTATCATCCCTCTTCCTTTGCCAAATTGCTGACTTTGTAATAAAAAAGAAACCTACTAATTATTCCTTTCTGAATATAAATATGTCTGGAGTATAAGTTGACGGTGGCTTGAAATGGCTAGATAATTAACCAAGGGATGCATTTGGCCATTAAGGCTATAGATCAGACTAGGACAACAAGATGCTAACTTTCCCTTTAGCTATACTTCTAGATGAGCTTCCTGGCACTAGGCTGCTGCAATTTGTATTCTGGCCAGTAGAATTTTACCATGTTCATTTTAAGTTAGCTCAGACATAATGCTGCAAAAATAAGAGTCACCGAACATAGTGAAAAACAGCTATTTTGACAGCAGCTGGAGCCTTCAAGGCAGGGCAGCATGGCTGGAGGAGGCCTGATAAGCTTTTTGTCCCAACAGCAGGGGAGAATGTTTGGACTGGTCGTGCTCATATGCCATGGGGGTCCCACTAGCCCACAAGGTGCAAGGCCCTGTAGCATATGGCCCCTGTGGTGTGCAGCCCAGGGCCCTTGTGAAGCTCCATCTACTTTGAAGTTGGACAGGCCTGGTTTTAAAAAAGGGAAATCAGAAAACAAAAAAAATTGAGGAAAAAAGGAGAGCTTTCTGTTTGCTTTTTTTTTTAATCCCAGGATTTGAATGTTAAAGCTTGAATATTATGAATAAAATGCTGTTTCCAGCAAGTTGTCATATTTTAATTTACTGTAATTTACTTCAAATGATAGTGAAGTGTGTTCAGTCAAAGGAAACCATAATATTTATGTGATCCTAAAGTGAAATGATAAGAGAGGAATGAGGTAGTGAAAAGCACAAATGACTGAGTGTAAGTCAGAATATTGTAGACGAAATTTGGAAGAAAAAATAGATGTTGACATTTTTGTAAGACTCTGATGTACTGCTGTCACTTCAACCTACTTTTGATATAATTTTCTATAACATTTTTTTTTTTAGATTCACAGTACATACCTAGAGAGTAACTGGCCTATAAGGGTGAGTTATTTTAAACATGTATTGCTTGATGAAAAATATAAGCATTTTGTATTTAATAATTGCTGAACCATGTAATAAGGTACCCTCTATCAGAAATGCTGTTGTACTGGTCACTAATATTTATTTCTAAAAGAAAAATACATTTAAAAAGATGGTACAGAATATTACACAGACACTTCGTAAATTTGAACTTGAATACTGTGATTTTGCTTATAATCTGCTTGGACAGAAGTTCACTTCTGTAGTGTTTGAGCAAGCCTTCTAATTTCTTTTCTCTGCAAAGTTTTCAGCCATTGACAAGCTGGGACAGAATGTAGCTGTTGTTGGCAAATTTGGTTTTGCGCATTATTCTTTACTCACCAAAAAATGGAAATTGTTTGGAAACATTACCCAGGTGAGTGCCATCTAAATGTATGCAGGCTTATGAAAAAGATACTTTGAACATTTATGGACTGGTTTATATATTGTGTGCGCATTTGTTTATTCTTGTATTTTTCTATGTATATTTTAAGTGATTTTTAGGAAAGTTTGTAAGAAACATATGCTGGCTGACTTGTTCTTTTTCACTTTATTCTAAGGAGCAAAATATGGTTGTGACAGGTGGCTTAGCCTGGTGGAATGATTTCATTGTTCTTGCGTGCTATAATTTAAATGACCGTCAAGAAGAGGTAAGACATTGGTTTCTTGAAAGTTAATATCTTGTTTTAAACAGCAGGCATGTTCAACACTAATACAAAGAAAGAGACGACAAACTTGGTTCTGCAGAAACAAACCAATGTGGGTTCCTTTTGTTCAGTGCTTTTTTGGAAGCATTTTGACATAGCTAATTTTGGTCCTTTTGGAAAAGTTCTTCATTGACAGTAGAACTCTTGTCCTGTTAAGACAGGTTAACATGTTTATCATCCTTGGGAAAATGACAGTTTTAAATGCTAACAAAGGTATGTGTGTGTGTGTTGCTGTATAGGTATTGTCATGGTTCCTACCTATCAAATACATTTAGGAATGTAGATGAAAAAACTTGCACATTTTATATATTTGAAGACTAAGAGCTCTGTCCTCTTTCAGTGTCTCTGGTTTAAAATGCAATTAACATTTTTAAAACTTTTTTTATTGGCAAAATTACCATAGCATTAAAAGTAAGGAATTTTTTATCAATTCACTATATAAATTAATTGATCTAGGAGCCCTAGACAGCTGTCCCACAAAAATGTACCTCATTAATGGGTTTGTGTTTTGAAGTATTTACATTAGGTTAATTGTGTTTGCAATATAGAACCCTTTGTTTAAATCATTAATTCTCCTTGCAGCTACGAATCTACTTGCGAACATCCAATCTGGATAATGCATTTGCCCAGGTCATCAAAGTGCAGTCAGAAACATTATTACTCAGTGTCTTCCGAGACATAGTAATATTGTTCAGAGCAGATTGTTCTATTTGCCTTTACAGTATTGAGAGACGACCTGATGGGTAAGTACAAATTGAATCAGGTTTATTAAATTATCCTACCACAACTTTGTAGTGTTTTACAGAAACTTGAAAATCTCTCCTGTAACTGAATAATTTATTTTGATAAACTGATAACCCCTGATTTGATCTTAAGCCTATTGTTACCTATTGAGACGCATTCAAAATGTTATGTTTGTGGCAGTTGTCACCTATTTTGTGCCACTGACTTCCACAAACTTCTGCTCAGGTGCTGAATGGCTAAAAACTGCATGTACAAAGTTCATCAGAATTGTAGGATCTTGAAAACTTGGCTCACTCTTAATGGTAGGGAAAGGAGCCTGGGAATTCTGAAAATTTTTATCTGAGGGCTTGTATCCTTTAAAGAGGTGGTAGGTAGACTGACTAAACATCTCATGTCCATTACTAGTTGATTCTCCTTTTCAGTATCTTTAGACAGGTTGGATTCTGGTCTGCTGCTTAATATTTGAAACTGATTTGTTTCCTTATGTTCCCTTAAATCTACACACAATCTTTGTCTGGTTTTCATAATTTATAAAACCTGCTCGAAAACTTACTGTTAACTCTTTAAATGGATGACAAAATTGAGGACATTTAAACATTTTTAAGAATTTAAAAAATCTGAGTTTTACTTCATTCATATTTAAACATTTGGGGAAATGTAGTTTTAAAGATCTGTAGGGGAAGGGGACAAAAGTTTTTATATATTGTTAGCACACTGTGCAAAGGGTACGAATCTGTCACTGATTATAGTTCTGTTGAAGGAATTTCCTTTTTTTTGTTATTTTAGAAAAGTATATGTAGACAAAATGATAAAGATCTAATGTTCATAAAACTCATCATTTTAAAGAGGCACAGCTTTAGCAGCTTCATATATAAAAGAAAATCTGTATTCTCTACTACCTTTGCTTAACAGAACTTAACAGTGATCCAAGAATTTAGAGGACTAGGGTTAGAAAAAAAAGATAACTTTCTTATTTCAGAGTTGTAAATCTTTTTCAAGGAAGAATATGAAATCTTGTGGATAAATATACTCAATCACTAATAGTGGGCTCTAGTCAGATTAACTAGGTTGTTGCATTGAAATCAGAATAGTACCGTTTCTATCGCAGGGTACTGTACTTGTTGCTTTCAGCTTTGTAATACAGAAATCCAGGTTATTCAAAATTTATTCAGCTGATGCTCTTCTAGCTAATGTAGTAGGTTTATAGACACCTTTAATATGGCATTCCTTTCTTTTTTGTGCAGGTATATCTATTGCTAGTCAATAAATCTAAAGGGTGAACTTCTGTTCAAGTGCACTCAGCCAAAATTGTAATTTTTGCTACAGAAATAGGAGACAACTTACAAGTGTGTTTGGAAAAGACTAACTTGGAGTATTTAAGAAGCTCCTTGGGTTTAGTTCATTGTTGGCCTCTTCCCTTTAGCTGTTCACCCTTTCTTATGCAGCCCAACATTTGAAATAAGCCTGATTACTTGTATACAAAGAGCTGAAATAATGATAACAAGGTATTGTTCATTGCCCAGTCCCACCAAAGACTTCTTGTGAGAACTTGTAGTGGCTGAGGGATTTGAGATTTTTTTAGATGGTATGCAAGGCATCTCCACTGTTGGCAGGAGTTGCAAAAATGAGTTTATGCAGAAGAACAGAAGAGGCAGAGGATAGCAGGAGCATGCAGTGCTGGTGGATTTAAGTGAGTCCATATGGCAAGCTAGTGTTAAGTCTTTCAAGATGCTGATAAAAAAATCGGAATTGGAATAATTCTCAAACCTATTCTCTACCAGCAGTCAGAGCTGATACCTGAAGAATGCATAAAAAGGTATTTGTCAATACAAGAAGAGAACAAGAACTTGCATTTCATAACAGTCAAAGTGAGAATGTTAAGTAAGCAGTTTTAGGGAGACTGTCATACTGTAGGCAGGTTCATATAGAATCCATGATCAGTGATTTCTGAATCAAGAATAAGGATTCAGATGGTGAATAGTGGTAAAAGATTTTAAGGGGAAATGTCTAAGACTGCCAGTTCTGCTGAGAAGATCCTTTGTCTAAGGCATTTAGCTGTGAAACTTGAAATAGTCTCTGTCTTCGGTGCAGCTAGGTGACAATGGCATTGAATTATCTGTGCTTCAGTATCATCAATATAAAAGGAGAGATGAGAATAAAGGAGTGAATATATTACTATAAAGGAGAAAGTAGGTAAAAAAGAGCAAGAGCAAAAAATAATAGAAAAAGAAGTAGGTAGGGTAGTACCTACTTTTGTACCTTTTAGGCTTCATGAAGGAGCTTGCTGAAGACCAGGCAGGTGCTGGTGAAGGTTTAGAACCAGAGTGGAAAGGAGTAAAGATACTTACCTACTTCGAGGCAGCCACAGTTAAGACTAGTCCACAGTATTGTAGCTTGGACTAAAGTCAAGAAGCAGGAACCTTCATTATTAGAAAGAGCATTAACTTGGAGGAAAATACTCTTGCAGAGACCCAAACTGGTATTTTCTTTACAGAGAGGTGACTAAGAGTCTCTGCTCAAGCCACTCTGGTAACTTCCAATAAACAATGAAGGTTCAGGCATTTGGGCTAATGGGTTTATTAAGTTACTCTTTTTAGCTATGAGGTGTGGGACTGAATACAGTTTCAGTGTTAAAGGGGCTTCATACTGACTTCTGCTTACTTAAGGTTAAATTGGTATTTTATTTATATAATCATTATTTTCAATTTTAGCAAGTATGATTTTTTTAATTAAGTACCACTATAGTAGCAAGACTTAGTAACTTTTTTTGTTTTTTCCTTGCAGTCCTAACCCTACCGCCAGTGTTCAGGTTCTTCAAGAGGTGTCCATGTCTCGTTACATTCCTCATCCTTTCCTTGTGGTGTCTGTTACTTTGACATCGGTGAGAACAGAGACGGGCATCAGCTTGAAAATGCCACAGCAGGTACGAGTCTATACAATGCTGAGAATGTAATAAGAATCGCTTTTGTTTTGGATTTGGTAGTTTAGTCTAGTGATTCTCAACCAGGTGGCTTTACATGCCTTGAAATCTTTTAAAGGTGCCACATAATGTTACCACTGTCAAGTTTGCAAACATGATTCACAAAATAAACCCAGAGATTTCAAACAGAAATCCATAGTTGTGGTCTTTCTGAGCTGTTTGCAGCAAAAGAATGCCTCTTATTCTTCTGTAGTTAAAAAATAAATAAATAAATAAATAAAAAAAGAGAGAGAAAAAAAGAGCTGGCATTTTTCAAGGGTGTCTTGAGTTTAAAAAGGTTGAGATCCACTGGTTTAGTCTTTACAGGTCAGTTTGTGACTGGCATACCCTACAACTGTAATAAAAAGCTCTTTAAAGATACTTTTTAAGTTATTTCAAAAAGTGCTTTTATATAATATAAATGCTAAAGGAAAAATGTGGGAACAAAACCCTTTACCTGGATAAGTAACTGTTTTGAATAGTTGTGGGTATGAAATATTTTCTGGATCAGCATCTACATGGCTCCTTGGCTATCTGTTTCATATCCTAGAACTACTTGGAAATCATGTTTTTTTTTCCTAAGGTCTGATCCTGGATACAGTATATATTCTTTTGCATTTACATGCCAAGGCTGCTCCTTTCAACTGATTGTCACTTTCAAGTATGTATCAGTGAGCCAACTGTTAGTCTGCATACAGCACATGCACCAAAAAGTAGTCTTTTAGCTAACAATGTCTGTTATCTAATTTTCCTGCAAGCGCAGGTCCTTCTTAAAGATGAGCAAAGCAGGGGTCTGTTTGGCACTGGTGCGACACACAATCTAAGAAGGTACTCAATTTGCCTCTCCTCTTCTTGGGTCAGAATGTCAGTATCTTCATCAGTGGCCTAGAAGATGGGATGGAGTTGCACTCTCAGTAAGTTTGCAGATGACATCAGGTTGTGGGGAATAATAGAATCATAGAAGTAGGGTCGGAAGGGACCTTGTAGAT